TGACTCCGAGTCGACGGTCTGTTCTTTTTAGCTATAAAAAAATAGTTAAAATGTACAAGAAACGCTAAAAAGAACAGACTATTTTGACTCGGAATCGGATCGAGTCAACAAATCGAAAACGCTATAAGTAACATTTTTAACCAATAGTAATGAATTGCTACGACTGCATACTGCGCATGAAATGGCACCTTAACAGAGGTCTCTATGATCTCTCCTGTCGTCTGCTTGTATTCAAAGTTCAAACTTCGTCAAACTCCGCAGGCAGAGGTCGCATTGATAATTGTGTTTTGAAATCACGTGAAGTAAAATGACGAATTTATTTTGTTCTTTTCTTTTCACGGGAAACGTATGTTCGGGATTGAATCAAGTTGTGAAAGATACGTTTGCAGTACTTTATTTTCAACGAGAACTTCTACGTTAAACGTCGGTATATCGAGTCGTGAAATCCAGTATACCCACGTAAATCACAATTGTATCTGGGAGTCCTCATATGATCGTCATGTTGTGCTCCGTCTCTCTCGGATAAACATACATTTCTTTAAAATTAATGTCGATTATGTTGAAAAGTGATCGTCGCCCGCGATCTGTCGGTTCTGTTCCTGGAGTGCGTAAGTCGAACGAGACTCCGCGAAAATGGAATCGCAATCTCAAGTCTTACAACAACCAGAGACAAGGGGATTCGATTTGTCGACTGGAAAGACGTGGATATATCCAGAAAATTATCCGATCCGCCAGTACCAGTATAACATAGTTGAATCTGCTTTATATCGCAACACTATGGTCTGTTTACCCACTGGTAAGAGGAGAAATATCTTTTGCTAGCGATAACGCTTAATCAGTCAGGATGTAAAAGTATGTCTTCAATTTTGTGACAGGGTTGGGAAAGACCTTCATCGCCGCTGTTGTGATGTACAATTTTTGGAGGTGGTATCCATTTGGAAAGATTGTATTTCTGGCGCCGACGAGACCTCTGGTTGCCCAGCAGATCAATGCATGCTACGAAGTGATGGGGATTCCAAGCGTCAATATGATAGAACTGACAGGTTTTAACATTCATTTAATAGTAATGTAACTCATGTATTTTGGAGTATCATGTAATATAATAAAAATGTATTATATTACATTTAATCTGTAGGTGCAGTAAATCAGAAGAATCGTGGAATAGCTTGGCTCAAAAAGAGAATAATATTTGCCACTCCTCAGGTGTTTCATAACGATCTTGAGAAATCAAATGTACCAAGTCATTTAATCAAATGCGTTGTTGTGGACGAAGCTCACAAAGCTTTGGGCAAGCATTCATATTGTGAGGTAAAAAAAACATGGAAAATATGCATTGTTATTACAAGAAACTGAGGCCATATTCAATTCTTATATTTAAGACTATCTTAAGTCTTAAGATGTTATAAATCAATCAAGTTGATATTCATAGTCAGTTCTTGTATTTAAGACTGTTTTAAGTACAATCTTAAAAAATGTTATAAACCATCACCATATTATCATCTTATGACATTATTACAATTTTAAAACAAGAATTGAACACTGGCCACCGAGCTATATTAGCATTTTAAGATATTATTTAACACGTTTGGTGCCCACCTGAAATGACGCACCACCGCTGGGAGCTAATGTCACAAAAATTTTTTTGTATGGTTTCACATTCAAAGTCCGAATGGCTTAACTAAACACATAGATCGATCATGCGCTGGTACGTGACCTATTTGCTAAGAATGCGTGGGCGCGTGATGGGCAGCGAACATGTTAAGATAGTCTTGAAACAAGAATGGACTATGAATACCGGCCTTTAATAAATTTATAACTTTTAGTGTATCAAAATATTATCCACGCAGAATCAATACTTTAGGATATTAGCGCTTTCCGCTACACCTGGAAATAAAATAGATAAGGTTCATGAAGTAAGTAAACTCATAATGTTGCATATAGATGTTTGATTTCATTGGAAGTTGTTTTAAAGGAGTAGATATTTTAATATGCTCGTGTTTTGTTGCACGGTAGGTAATACGGAATTTAAACATCTCTCATCTGGAATTGAGAGATGAGAACTCAATCGACATAATACCGTATGTGAATAAAAGGAAAGTGGATATTATTTTGGTACCTCTTAGCAACGAATTAGCTACATTCAAAGATAGATATATTACTATCATGGATCGCCACGTTAGGCTTCTTGTACAATGTAATGTACTGCGAGGTCATACTGCAAATATATCTAAAGGAAGGGTAATTAAATTTTATCTATAAATGTTATATACTCGTATCTATATATGTTTACTGACACATACTTTTAAGTGTTTATTGCATTTGTCAGGTGTTTCATTTGTTGAGGGAATTTCAAATGAAGACAGACAAGTCTGGAAATTATGGGCAAATTATGAAGACATTGAATATATTGTTAACTATGTACCACGCTTATGAACTTATGATCAGGCATGGATTACGTGCCTTCTGTAAATTTTATGCAAGTATGTTACATATAAACAATTACAATTAATTTTATAAAGAACACTAAAATTTGTTAAGATGATTTTATAAAAATCTTTGATTTAATTTTATAAAAAATATAATTTGTTGGGATATCTATAGCACTGTCAATGCACAGACGATCTTTAGAGAAAATTTTATTTTTAGCTCATTCTGATAAGTTTTGGATTAGCAGTGAAGATCGATTACGAGATTTACTCCATGACATAGAAGCTTATCTCGGTCCGTTTCCGGAATTGTATCCCAATGGAGATGTATCTGAGGTTTGCAAAATCTTAAAATTATCTTTATAATAAACCAAAAAATTATACAATATGTAATGTAAATAATGATTTCAGATATCAACAAATATCATATTTGGACATAATAAATTTTACAAATTGAAGGACTTGCTCGAACATCATTTTAATAACAACAATGACGATCGAAAGGACACAAGAGCTATAGTTTTCGTCGAAGTTTGTATATTAGCCTTTCAGACTGTCTCGTCTGTATACATAATATATACTATTTGTATAAAACTTTTAGAAATTATTAAAAAAAAATTAATTTATATTCCAAACATTTAATATGTTACTTCATGAATCTGCAGTACAGAGACATAGTCAATGAGGTCTATATTTTGCTCTTGCAATCAAAGCCGATAATTAGGCCACAGATGTTTGTCGGTCAAGCAGGTCAGAAGCAGAAGCAACAAATAAAAGCGTTGGAAGATTTTCGAAATAATCGTGTAAATGTGCTGATTTCAACGAGTATAGGTGCGTGAAAAACAGATATTATTGATTTTTTGCCATACTCTAATTTTTATGATATTTATCTCTTTGTTGAGATATATTAATTTTTTGATAATGTATGCTACAGGTGAAGAAGGATTGGATGTAGGGGAAGTAGATCTGATAATATGTTTTGATGTATCGCAGCATTCCCCGATAAGGCTGGTTCAAAGAATGGGCAGAACAGGACGTAAACGAGACGGTCACATAATTGTTCTTGTTACAGACGGAAAGGAACATGAGGTAATTTGAAAAATAATTTGGTAATTTGGAAGATTTGTACAATTTTTTTATACATGCACTTTAACTGTGAAATACTTGGCAGAATTTGAAGTCTACGCTTTCCCGAAGGGACTCTCTAAATAACAAAATATTGAACACGAGTAACATATTCGCCTCTTTGTACGATAATAATCCTAGAATGATACCAGATCAATTTACTCCGGAATGCCATAAGATACATATTATAGCACTACCAAAAACGCCAAATGTAAAAGGTAAAAAGAGAAAGCATAATGTCCTTAAAAAGAGTGAAGCATCTGCCATGAAACAGAAAGAGGGTAAATAATTTATTTCTATTCTTCTTTTTTTTTTGTCAACTGCTTTATGTTTAACAGATTTATTTCTTGATATTTCTTAAAAGATACATATTGGTTTTACAGAGTCTTCTAAAAAAGGAAATTCAAATCAATCGTTGATGATGAAATTTCTTACCGATAATAAATGTAATGAACAGAACCAGGCTAACACGTGCAATATTCTTACTCAGTTAAAAACGCAAAGCAATAGCAAGTATAATACGATAAATCCTAATAATGTCAAGCTGTTGACTGACGACAACGCAGGGATCGATTTTCTGACGTTATGCGCGGTAAAGAGATCGGAGGAAGAGATGTCTTCCGAAGCTGCATCTAAAATGGACACGACTTACATTCCCGCGCCAAAACCAATTGAAGATTTGTTCAGTTTTGTAGTGCCTAACATAGACGTTATTAGTTTATGTTTTCTAACGGAAAATAATTTAACGCAATGTAAAGACTATGAAGATAATGAATCAATACAATATAAGAACAACGAGGATGAGAATATTCATGACAATAATGATTACATGTCGATGAATGTCGATAACAGTAACGTTTGGTGCACGATCCGAAATGAGAGAAATGTCGATGACAACGAAATCAGATTCGAAGATATACTTGACGAGAGTTCCGATTCGAATGAAACAGCAGTTTCGTATCTAAATCAACAAATTACAAATATTGAGATAAATTCAGAAGGAGCTTCTACATTTGACATAAAAGAGGACAATGAAATTGTAACTGACACAAGAACCGAATTATCAACTAATACCCTAGACAACCTGGAACCTACTATATTTGAAAGCATATTGAACGAATCATTTAGCTCTGTCGAGAACGATTTGGAAAATGAGGACGATGCAGCATTGCGAAATGCGGAGTCTCCAAATCCTTCAAGTGCCTTCCCTGAAAATGCAGGAGAACTCAACGTAACGCGCAAAACTAATGTTAACGATTTTCACAACGAAGACAATGTTGCTGAAACTAATCAAAATCTATCTGCATCTGTGAAACTCGCTAAATCTCAACAAACGAATAAATTTGCAAGTTTTATGGATGAAATGCATGATATTGAGTTTAACAGTGACGATGATATAAATGAATTTGTCAAGTGTCACATTAATAAAAATAAATCAATACGCAATTCTAAAGCAGAAGAGAGTTTGTTGTCCATAACTCAAGCTATTGATGAAATAGCACGAGCGAGAAGAAATTTGGAAACGCCAAGGGGATCTTTTGTAAGAAGTAAAGAAGAATCGCTTAACAAAGATACTGGCTGGATTTCAGTTAATATTAAAAACGGAAGTGAAACCGGGAAGAGCAACACGAATTTGAGGATAGATAATATCACATTATCAAATACTCATTGTACTTCTGCTGCCAAATCGCGTACTGTTAAACAAGCTCTCGATTTCCTAGATGATTCCGACGAAGACTTTATGATTACAGAGGACAACGCTAAGAAATTCAATGAGCTTGAAAGCTGTTACTTTCGCAACTCGTCGAAAGATTCGAAGAACGATATTAGCTGCATGCCCAGCACATCGAGAAGCTCAGAAATTAGAAACAATTATTTTAATGGTACATTGAAAAACTTGACAACGAAAGACAGTTGTTCCGATAACGCGTTAAAAAGTTTGAAACCGTGCGGCGTATCAACGCCGAAAACTGATAGACGTCCGAAATTATCTTTGAAACGGAACAGGGCCCAGCAAGACTCGAGTACGATAGATTTGAGTTTCTTCAAGGCGCCCGATAAACGTGTGAACAGCACAGCCGATACGAATATTTTAAAATCCAACCCCGACGTGCCAAAGCAGATTCCTTTGATTGAAAAGATCGCGAGGAAAAGCAAGCGTAGGCCTAAACGTGAGGACAATGCCAGAAACGAGTTTATAGATGACGAGGTGGAAGTGACTTCTGACGTCAGTTCGGACGAAATCGTTATCACGGATGACGAGAATCTTGAGGATTTCGTGAGCTATACGCAATTCTCGCAGGAGCAAGTCGACATGCACGCGCATTATCTGCAAACTATTAGGAGCCCGATAAAGAGATCGGGCGCTTTTCATTTCCGGCAGCCGCGCACACTCGATCCAAATGTAGAGATTTACTCGCAGCCAGTTTCGCTTTCGCAAATGCAAGATTCATATCTTAACGTACGTGTATATTATCGTTTTATAAACTTTCTGTAACTCGAATTAGCATGAATATCGTTATTAGTACGAAATCAATCCGATTTTTTATATACGACAAATTAACGAAATATCTATTTAAATATATGTTAAATTGTGCTTTCAGGATTCGTTTTGCGTTGCGGGAGACGCCGAGCTAAGCACGCTCGCCCATAACGATTCGCTATTAGATAGAATGGAAAGGAAATTGGTGGAAAACAAGCGAAAACGTTTCTGTTCCAACGAGGATTTGAAACGTACTAAAAAGAAAAAGACGAATATTTTAAATCGCTCTGTGAGCAGCGAGGATGAAATCGAACAGCTGCGTGTACAAGTGCAGGAGGATTATGGATGAACAAGAACGAAATCGAACTGTGATGCTTTGATGATCAATTATGGAGCGCAGTGAGAAATTTATTACCATATGTACAGTATACTCGTTAAAGATTCGTGTTATATATGTATTTTTATACAGCGTTTTTGTAATAAAATCATGTAAAGATCTATCTTTAATCAGATGACACAATGATTTATGAGCAACAGCGTATCCTCCCGTATCCTCCTCTCGCGTGAAGCGCGTGATTTTCCCGTCGAAAATATAATTTATCTCGTCATCTACTGAAAAATCTTTTAATGTTACTTTTACCGTCGTTGCACCGTTTTCCGATAGCGATGTACACATCTTTAGTGCTTACATTTTACCGCTTAAGCTTTTACAGCGTATTGATTTACGATGAAATTATGGATCTAGCAACTGCTTTAAACTTACCGCAATCAGTATGTCATCTTCAACAATAAGAAACAAGTTGCTTATAAAATAATTATATAATATTATGATATGAAATTTATTGAAAATGTCAATCGGTTTATTCATATCGTTGCCGCTTCTTTTAACATAGAACAATGCGTCTAATGTAAATTCCATGTTTATCTGGAAATGTCAGTGAGAATAGATATCGGTAACAAAGGATAAATCAAGGCAAGATATTGTACAAACCACAGGTACAATGCGCAAGATTTCTTTTAGATACCAGAGTAAAGCCATTAGAATAGACAGAAAATATATCAGTAAAGTTACGTTTGTCCAGGTACAAATGACATGAAAGTATATAAGAGCTAAACGCAAGCTCTCACGTCTCAGTTCCAAATTTTCACCGCGTGAAATTACCTCGAGAGCAAGATTTTTGAAGAGGCAATACCTCGTACGAAGTTCCACGAAATTGAGGTAATAGCTAAATAGTTAACGATTAAACAATTAAAGGAACAACGTAGTGCTGTGCAATTACAATTTAAATAATAACTGTTCGATGTGGCCAAGTTCCAAGTATTTATTTATTTCTTCTTTTCAAGTGGATCTCCCTTTTTAAATTTTTACAGATCCAGTACGACGAAGTAAGGAAAGATGTATCTTGCAGCAATTTGTTTGCTGGCTCTAGGATGTGCGGGAATCGTCATGCCGCAACAAATTGGGAATAGCGACATTAGACAGGCGCCACAGATGTCACAGCCATCACAAGCAACACGACCGTCACAGTCATATGTGACACCATCACCACGAGGGACACAATCACAAACGGCACAACAACAATTGCCACAAGTGCCACAAGTGCCAGCGGGATATAATGCGGTACAGCCGATACAACCGACACAACCATCGCAGTATGTGCCTCCGTCGTATGTGCCATCCGCAAACTATTATGGGCAAAGCAACGTTACTCAACATCCACTTCACTATCCGATCTACCCGCAGTATTCGAACAATTTACCCGTTGCGGAACCAAAAAATAATTTGCGGGTGAGCTCTCGTATGGAAACCGCTCTCGTTTATGGCAAATATACAATGATAGCGTCCGGGGTAATCCTCTCCATCACGGCCACATTTTTCTACGTTTGCTCGTATACGGAGTACTGCAATTTTTTTTCATCAGAAAGTAGCAAGGTAAGGCAAAATATATTTATTTATTTATTAACAAATAAGCGAGCAAATGAGAGTCAAGCGCAGTTAATAGGGCACAAATTATCTCTTTAATAATGAGATCTACATACAAATAGGATACAAAATGTCCAGACAAGTTGCCGCCTTCTCTTCGAGTCATCTACAGTCTTTTACTAAATAAAATATATAACGAACTCTATGAAGCATTCTGCCAAAAAGATAAATAAAAGTCCGTTTTCAGATTTTATATTTATTTATTTTCAAACAGATTTTGAAGCGCTCTTTCAAAATTTGCAACTATCACTGTCTATATGGTAGTGGATGAACTTTAATGAGAGAGAACCTAATTTATAAATTAAAAAATACTTTCATCTTACCGAGGAGTACTTTTCACTTTTGTTCCAAAATAATATTAGTATTTACTATTTATTTAGTTTGAGATTTGTTTTGAGCAAGTAGCGCGCGATTTTCTTTAATTAGAAATTCTTTGAATTAATTATTTCCTTTTTTTTCATAATCCATTTAATGACAAAAGTAATAATGAAAATAAGATTGTAATCATTCTCGATGTCATGTCATCTATGTTCCCGCAAATCTTCGATCAGTCAATCGATTTATTTTTATATTTCTTACGTCGTGTTTACACCTCGTTATCTTATACAAACTCTTAATTCTAATACACAAACACGAAATGGACAAATAATGGCATTTGTTTGTATAAATAATGCATGAATGTGCATTTGTTAACTTTGATATTTATTTAAAAAGTTTAAACTTAATGATTTGATTGTTTGCGTAGCAAAAAAGATCCGCCCGGTACAAACGTGTGACGTCGGATTACTTGGATGACATCACCTCTATGGTCTTGGAAGCGATAGTCAAGTACAACAACCAGAATAATATTGAGTAGAATGAATAATGCAAAAATTTTTTGATACTATTTATATATTTTTTTATGTATTTTGAAGTTTTTTTTATTACATTTCTCATCTTCAACATCTTAACAATTTATTCATGATTATTTTATACTTTTTTATATAATGTGTCTATTTTTGTATTTGGTCTTTTTGTGTATTGCGAATAAGTTTTACGTGTCGTCGGGCAATGATCTTCGTGTAAAGATGAACTGTACACAAAACATTTCAATATAAATGATAAAGCAATTCTTGTCGATTTACATTTTTATACGACGGCGTCACCACAGAATATTTCCCTGTTGTTTCCATACATCCTGCACTCGCTGATGTTTACCAACCAAAGTATGATATCATTTGGTTATCGCGATTTTTCATTTGCTTTAAAATCACCGCAGTGCGGTTAATTGTTTCCCACACATTCACCTGAAAGTAATCTATCACGCTTGATTATGCTATCAGATAATCTTGTCAGGTGATATAAAATTCTAGGTATCTCTCGAAGTCAATGGAAATATATGAATGTTAACGTCACACACAAGTTAACGTTAAACGTGTTCCTTGCTTTGCGTTTTATCTCTAAAGGAAAACGTTAAGAAGCAGCACTGGTAATGAATTAAACGTTTAATTAGGCATTTAAATACCAACAATTAATGGTTTCATTCATAATTTCAATCATTTTTATGGTTTTCTACTCTTTTTTAATGATTAACCGATTTAATAATGCCGAGGAAAACTTATATTGCTAACATAGTTGAAACATTCTTATGATTTATTTATTCTTGTGATTTATTATTCTTTTTTCATTTAGATGAGAATGAATATATTTTTACTTTATTTAATCTTCTTGATTTGCGCTCGTATTATTAGCCATTATCTTTTTTTATGTAATTACTTTTACACATACCAAACTTGATTAACTAATAATTTAAATACCCACAAGCTGACGTTTTGTTTTAATGTATTCAATTAAAAGATATTGTCATATTTATAATGTAGATACATTTATAAATAATTTTTAATTTCTTTACATATTTCTTAGCGATTATCCAAAAATAATTTTAATAATTTCAAAAATAAACTTGGTTGTGTTCTCAACTTAATTGCGATTGCGTTTTCATCGTGGCCACAACAAAAATATATTTTAACTTATTATTATTATTTATTACATATTTACATATATCATTACTTAATTTATTATTATTTAATATTTTAAAAAATTTTCATCTTGGTGATTTATTCTTAGACACATGTGTAATTGACAATTGTAGAAATTTCCCGCGAGATCCTTTTCTTATTTTTATACCTGTATATATACATATATATGCCAAATGTTATTGATAAACGATTTAACACATATGCAGACTTGTTCGCTTCTGAGTCATGTTCACCACCTCCGTTTCCTCCTCTTGTTTGCGATTTCCCCGTGCGTCTCTCCGCGGGTTACCACTACTCTTCCTCGCGGAGGCTCTATAATCCATTGGATTGTCAGACGCTGACCGGTTTTCATCCGTACACTGGTCGCGTCGCAAGCACTAGTCTTGATCATCGCGAATATCAAAGACCGAAAGTCACGTTAATTCGTAAAGCTTCATCCGGGACTAAAACAAGTTTCAACATTTCGCAGCGACTCGCCGATCATGCGGCTCCAATCAGGTAAGTAATATATTTCTCTTCGTAAATGTTTAAAAATCTATTCTTTCGATCAATTTGTTTCTCTAAAATCTTTAAACAACAGCAGAATTGTAATGAAAAGACTTATCGAGACCTACTATTAGTCAACATTAATGTTATTAATTGCCAAAATGGAATCTAATAATTTTTTAATTTGCCAAAGATTTAAAATTTTTCAAATTTCTGCAATGCGTCTGAAAAATATGGTTTTCAAATAAATTATAAAATAATTTTAGTTTACTGTTGAAATCTACATTGAAAAAATTAAATTCTCTCAGACGAAACTCTGCCGGAAAATTTGGAAGCAAAGTGTAAAGGTAAAAGGTGGCAATTGAATTGAAGGTCAATGTTAAGATCCTTGAAATTTTCTTTCTTTGTATCTTATAAAAGACCTTGTTTGTCTGATGAGGTTGCTGACCGCTAACAAAAATGCGGTTTCCGTTCGGATAAGCATTTATGTGGTTACTATTATCGAATCACATCTAGGAATGTGTGTTGGGATTATGAATTATACAAAACACGAATTATATGTACAATGCAAATTTGAAATTTATTATGCGCATAATTATAGAAAATTCTTAGAGATTAAAAAATATAATATTTCTTCAAACATTATCGGCAAAAAAATATTATTGGAAAAAATGTCGCTATTTAATAATGTAATAATTTAATATTATAGAAGGACAGGCATGACGAGAGGGGGGGGGGTGACGGGGTGATTCCCCTCGGGCCCGGATTTTTTGAGGGATGTTTTAATACTTATTATTTTCAAAACATAGAGCACGTTCAAGTTGTCAAAGCAGCTAGCCTGCTCACCGAGCAACTGAACATGATTAGTTCTTATCTGTGGAATCAATCAATCGCTTGGCAAGCAAACCTAGCCGCTTTGCCAGCTTGAACTCGCCCATAGTTTCTTATTTTTTATAATAACTTTATCTAATTAAATTGGTATAGATTACGAATAAATAAATTTATGTTTCCCTGTATTCTTTTCTTATTTAGATTAGTTTCAAAATTTTAAATCTGCCGCTCCTGGTTAAGGATAATACCTATGCGAAATGGGGGCCCGTAATTTTCTTCTCCCGGGCCCGAGTTTTTCTCTCCACGGCCCTGTAGAAAGAGCTGGAAGCTTAGAACTTTTAAAATTTGTTATTTATTTTATATAATACTAATTACTTATAAAATTATAGAAAAATATAATTACAAAAACAGTTAATTATTTTTATTAATATTTTTTAAACTAATCTGCCACCTTTTGATCTATTTTCTTAATTAAAATTTAATTGTATCAAGATTTTCATCTTTTAAATTTTTTAATTTAATTAATATAAGTTAATTAAATTTAATCAATATCGTAATAAATTCTTTACAGTGTTTTAAGACTTAACATGTTCATTAGCATCAGTATCATTAAATTTAATTATCAATTTAATTCGTGATATTATGAATCCAGTTTTAATTTAAAATTGTGTTTCAAAACTGATAAATTATTGGTTTGTATATAAATTAGAAAATGTATTTAAATTTACGCAAAACTATTATTATAGGCATCAAGATTTGCTTAGAGCGAATAGATTTAGGCTGTGTTTGGGGAGCGCGCTATCGACGCTATTGTGTCATTTTATTTTTATTGTTCATTATATGTAAAAAAAGGATAGAATAACACAATAGCGCTAATATCGGGTCCTCCAAACGCAGCCTTTCTACTTAATTGTTAATTGTTTGTTTTCATATTATAGTCGATTTTTATTGATTTAATTTACTTTAATATAATTTACTAAATTTAATTAGTTAAAGCTTAATTTTCCACTCTCTGTAAAATATGTTAATATACATATAATTAAGCTTAAAGTTAAAATTCTGCTAAAACTTGATTAAAATTAAAGAATGACATGTCATTATTTTATTTATACACTGCCGCTCATAGAAGTTCAGACACCTGCACAAATTTTATTAAATGATCACTTAAAAAATTATAATATTACAAAATAATAATTGCATTATTCTCTTGTATACTTTAGACACATACTACATTTACACATATATACAGATATTACATTTTTTATAAATTATTTTTATTTTATGTGCTAAAATAAATTACATTTTTCAAAATAGTAATAGTATAATATAAAGTTCGAAAACAACTTTTAAAATATATTAATTTAGTGATCAATTTCCTATTTCTATAATAATTTACATGGTCATTACCTGTTCTCTTAAGTATAATCACTTTTAATCGAACTTGTTTATTTCGCCCGTAAAGAGCGGGCACAGATTATAATAACAACTTGGATTTGTCTGTCCAAAGTATTTTATTTCGATGTTTTATTGTCTATTCTCGATGCATTTGTGCCAAGACGGTTTACCTCTTTGCAAAAGAAGTTTTTGCTAAGCAATACATTTGTGTGAGCCCGCTGTTGACAATCGGCGTGATTTTACAGTACTTATACAGAAAATGCTTTGTCGCGGTTGCGATTGAATTTATAGCGGCTATTTCGGGCGCTATTATCTTTTGATTACACTTGCTTATTAACTTAATAAGTTGATCTTCAGCATGAGAAGTGCTACTCGATAGTCCTGCAGTTGATTAATGTCTTCCAAACGAATAAGATCAATTAAAAATGATTAATTGTATTTAAGAGAATAGGTAGTCAATAGGTAAATTATCAAGAGTAGGAAATTAATCTGTAAATTAATATATTTTAAAAGTTTTTTTGAAATTTATAAATTATATACACTATTCTGAAAAATATAGTATATTTTGGTATATAAAATTAAGATAATTTATCAAACTTTTGCAAATGTATTATGTGTCTAAAATATATAAGAGAGCAATGCAATTGCTATTTTGTAATAATTTTTTAAATAAACATTTGATAAAATTTACGCAGGTGTCTGAACTTCTGAACGGTAGTATATGCGCCATGAAACTCTTTTTTTTTTAAAGGATTTTTAGTAAAAATATGGTAAATATCTCAATCATTCTGTTAAGCAAAGATCGACGTAGTCCAAATTAAACAGATAACACAAAGAACATCTTTGTGACAAAGAATACTTTTTTTCTCTCTCTAAAGTGCGATAATACCTTTCCCGAAGATTTTTTTACGCTGAACACGATGTCGTTAATAGAATTTTATTAGTACTTGAAGATTTTAAATTGGAAATGAAAAGGGCTTAAATGCAACATTTTCGGCCATTTTTAACATTCTTTTGCGGCAAAGAGGACCTATAAATAAACTCACGGCATCTGAAAGTATAATTCCAGCTTTTAAACAAACTTTAGTTTATGTTCATACGACTTTTTTTCATCAAGGCTTCATTATGGCTTTTCGAATTTTAGAATTTCTGTAACATTCCGTGTCTGTAGCTCAAACGTGGGCTTATAATTAGGAATAAAAGTTGTTTGAGAAGCGCTTTGGAGTCAATAATTCTGTCATTTTTAATTGACAATAAAGTATAATATGTACTCTGACTGTTGAAAACACACACACAAAAGAATTTAAAGTCATTACATACTGTGGAAGTGAAAAACGGGGTTCTGATCTCTATGTAAAGCACGCACATACACACACACACACACACACACACATCATGTATAAGTACATATTTTACCTTTCTTATAAATTTTACAGAAAGTCTAAAATTTAAATAGTCATAATTTGATTTAAAAAAATGCGATCATGAGCTAAAGTTCGTTTAAAAACTCTTGAATTATACTTTTAGATGTCGTTAATTGAATCTATTTAGAAATCAGTTTACTTATATTGCCGCAAGAAAAATGTTAAAAGTGATTAAAAATATTTTTGTCCCTTAATTTCAATGTACTTAAAATCCTGACATGTTCTACGTAGGCAAATTCTGTCAACGAAATGTTCTAAGCGAAAAAATCTTCGGGAAACGTATTATCATACTTCGAAGAGAATTTTGTTGTAAACAATATAATTTATAAATGAAAGAATCGATGATTAATGATAAAATCCTTTACAGAAAAAAATTATTATGTAAATTATAAGTTATAGAGAAGAATTGTAAATTATATGTATGTAAAGAAGTTTTAATTGCAGGATATTTACTGTGCCTCTCGATTGCGGTAGTGTTTATAAAAGAAAATGCCTGCGCCGTGGCGCAAAATCCCGCACAAACGAGTAATTCTTCACGAATTAATTCTCAAGTTGAAGACGACGAAGATTTTGTGCCCTATCAAGGCGAACGCTTGACTATATTTGATTGGATTTTATTTAGGGTACTTATCGTAGAATTTATTCCTTGCAAATTTATTATCTATAAATTTTTTAAATATTAAAAAAATTAAAATTAATGTTTAATTGATATTATAGATCTATTAATATTACTTATTAATTATTAATCAATTAAATTAAATACGTAAGAGGTATGAAAATGATCTTTTAGATGTACAGATATTTTAGAGATTTTTTAGATCACTTTTAAACGTTAATTTTATATGTAATTATAAGAAAAGAACAATTTTGCTGAAAGGCAAAAATTTTGCTTAATATAGGTCTGAAAGTAATTTTGTTAGATCATTAAAACAATTTTGTTAAAAATTCAAATCGGTTGCTAGAATATCAAAATGTTTTAAAGCAATGCTTATTACTTTTGAGTTTCCGAACAAAAGTATTTTAATGGTTAACAAAATTATTTTGTATCCAGCAAAATTTTTAGAACTTTCAGCAAAATTGTTCTTTCCGTGTAGATTTATTAATTAATCTGTTAATTAATGTCAACGATCTATAATATTTTTTAATGCTTCTTCAGACTCTGAGTAAAGCAAATAGTGGAAATGTACTACTGTCGCCAATATCCATAAAATTAGCATTAGTGCTCCTTTATGAGGGAGCTCAGGATCAAACCGCACACGAACTTGCCGGAGCAATGCCCCTTCCAGTCAGCATGCTAGCCACTCGAGAGAAGTTCAGCAATATTCTGACATCTTTGCAGGTGTGTGTGTGTGTGTGTGTGTGTGAGAGAGAGAGAGAATCATATATTAATTTAGAAACATATGGAAATTAATATTTTTATTAAAATTGTAATATTTTTACGCATACAATTCATAAATTCATAAAGCGACATTCATTTATAGGCTCCGTCTTCTGCGTACACTTTAAATTTAGGTTCGCGCATTTATATCGACAATAATATATCGACTAGACAACGCTATTCAGCGACGGTGAAAACCTTTTACCATACCGATGTGATTAACGATAATTTGTCTGACACGCACGCAATCGCGAACAAAGTTAATACTTGGATTAATAATATTACGAATGGACACATCGAAAAGATAATAGACGATGGTAAGTTTGCTTGAGGCTTCATTGTACTATATATATAGGGCTGCGTTTAGGGAGCGCGCTATTATGTCAGTTTATTTTTATCGTTAATTAGACGTAAAACAAGGACAAAGTGTAATAGCGCTGATAGGACGCTCCCCGAAAGTAACCTAGATTATCTATAATATTTTTTGTTTCAAGCTCGATCATATAATTCAGTATTTTTCAATCTTCTTCAATTGATCGCGGCATATTATATAACGAGCCAAGATACATCATTAGATTACACACGTTTCAGCGCTCAGTATAAGTTTTTTATTAGATCCCGTTAAGACAACATTTAAAAATAAAACGTAAAGTTCTAAAGTTTTTATCTTTTATATATTTGTTTAAAAGTGATTTTATTGCAATGATGATATCATTTTGATTAAAGAGTAAACACAATATAATTTAGATAATTTTCACAATTTTGAAAATATTTTTTAAAAAATTGTTCGCGCTTTACTCGCTTTATTTTCTTCTTTTCTCTTATTGTATCTTCTATAAAATTTTCGCGGCCGATTGAAACTAGTGCCGATTGAAAATCCTTGATATAATCCATAAAACATAGAAGCTGTATATATTATTATTAGCTAATTTTTTCAAATTAAATTAAAAAAATTTTGTATTTAATATTTTATGCTATAATAATACAGACATATAATATAATATAATATAATATAATATATATAATATAATACAGACATGCAAGTGTAATCTTGATATCTACAAAATAATGTCTTATTGTCTTGCTCCTCTTGATGAAAGCGGAGGATTTGGTTGTAAGTTTTAATGCTTAACATTTAAAAGTATTTATTTACTATTTATTTCATGTTCTAGAGAAAGGTCTGGAGGACTCGGTGATGCTGATCGTGAATGGATTATTCTTCAAAGGCGCTTGGCGCCGCAGATACTTTGCGCCGGAGAACACTCGAGTTTCCAAATTTCACATTAACGTTAATGAAAGCGTAGACGTGCCGTACATGTACACCGTGAATCGATTTTATTACACCGAATCGTCCAGGCTTGATGCGAAGATTCTGCGGATTCCGTACGACGTGCGTAACAGCCTGAGATGAAATTTAATACAGCTTTGAGTAAATCGTCGCTAATCACTCAGAAATTACAGGATGTAAAATCTTTCAGGGCTCAAAATTCGCTATGTACATTATACTGCCACATACGCTGACAGGCGTGGATCACATTGTCGACGAGATCAATTCGTTCACATTGGCGAGAGATGTATGGGCTATGCAGGAATTGCCTCTTAATGTTTGGATCCCAAAGTTCAAATTCGAGTTTACGAGCCACCTGGAAAATACTTTGCGCGAAGTAAGTTGTTTATGTATTTTTATTATACATCATATATACTCAAATATATACATAAAAGATATTAAAAAGTATTAAATATAAAAAATCATTAGGTGTCACATTTAATAAGCTCGACGAATATAGTGAAGTCAGAATTACGATTTCTGATGCTACATACAAAATTTGCATCTTTTTTCTTTGATCGATTTCACATATTTTTATTATCAATAATGTAACATGCTTGCTATTCTTTAAGCTTGGTATCCGCGATATTTTCGACGACACCGCGCTACTGACGGGTATAGCGAAAACGAAACGAGCCTCCAGACATTTGCGGGTGTCCGATGTCTTGCATAAGACTGGGATAGAGGTGAACGAAAATGGGACGACTGCCTACGCTGCAACAGGTATATATACTTTTTAATAAATTACATGCATAAATAACTAAATAATTGAAGTAAAATAAGTAACAATAAATGAATATATGAGTCGCGCGATTTTGTACTTTTTAAATAATTTTTTAAAATTATTTAACTACAATGTTCCTGCTCTTTTTTTACAATTAATAATTATATTAGCAATTTATTTGCTACAACGTAATTAATTTTATATGAAAGAGGTACAAAAGTTATTATATGTATATTGGTTTTACTTCAAAAATATCCTAAAATAATAATTCGGCGTTATTTTTACCGTAAATTATTCACAGGAGCAAAAAAATTTTATCATAGCGTTTCTTGTTCTTGTGCTCTCTCTTATATTTCTTCTTCTCAATATAGAAATACAGATTGGAAATAAGATAGATGACGGCACATTTAACGCCAACCATCCGTTCGTGTTTTACATCGAAGATGAGACTACCGGTACCATCCTTTACATAGGAAAATTTCAAAATCCCTTAAAGACATCTGGAACTACTGGGAAAGTGCAGCAGCAATTTCCGTCGCGATTTAACCCGGATACGGCGACCGTAACTCCCAACCCCGGTAAACCAACTACTACCGTAGCGTTATCTGGTAATTAAGGAAGTGGTGTGTAGCGGTAACGGGTAGAATATAACCTTGGTGCACAATTCTACTCTGTGATTAAAGTTTCTTCCTATCAAGCAAATTTTGCATTGTTCTTTTAACTATATTAAGTAAAACCAAAGAGTTACAAAACATTACATTATATTTTCTCTTCTAATACTAACGGCGGTTTTGTTGTAAGTTATGAATTGGATATTTTTTCTCAAATTCCGAGATTACAACATAGTATCTCAAAACACAAAAGGAAAGGAACGATAACGTGGGATTAGTTTTTTTTTTCTAAAGATTGAGAATTCTTTTCTACATATTTCGATATACCGTTTCTCTGTATTTATGGTTCTTGAAGCTTTATCTCGGCTTGATTTATCTTTAGCTCGGAGCTCGAAATATGAGATAAAATATCCTGCACACGTAGGATGTACGTATTTTTAACATATTATTAACACATTGCATGGTGCTCTATATTAGTGTATTATAATGGATAATTGCATTTCAATAGATGTAGTTAAGATCCTGACGCAAGTGATTTTCCGGCTTATCGAGTCTTATTCGCTTTGACTTATATGTAAAGATGTCCGAACTGTTCGAATACGAATCGAATCGAATTAGGATAAGTAGAATAATGCGCCATGTTATTAAAGTTTTTTTATATTATCTATATATTATGATTCAATCTAAAAATAAGTAATAATTATGTTGTTAATTAAAAATTATGTTTAAACAATTCAATTAGACTTAATTCTATTAGATTCGGGTAAAATTAATTTTGTCAATTTGGTTCAAGATTCGAACGAAAAAATTCGACTCGATTCGATTTGATATTCAAAAACCTCTGATTCGCATGCCTTTATTAAAATTACTTATGTTTTTATTCGATTTTTAACAAAAGTACAAAAAAAACTTTTTTAAATACATTAGAGCAACACTTTTAATACAATATAAAAGAAATTATTATTACAGTTTTTCATTATCACAATTTTTCTTGTTTGATTTTTGACAAAAGTACAAGAAAATAAAATTTTCTTAAATACATTAGAGCAACACTTTTAATACAATATAAAAGAAATTATTATTACAGTATTAAATATTCCATACAAATTGTGACAGAACGCTTATTATAATAGTGTATTATTATACGTAAATAAAATTGTATCTGTGAAAATTATATTTGCATAAAAACGAATTGCATAAATTTTCCATGTACATTCAATAACGAATATCGAATAAAATTACGTCAAATACATTAATGACAATAGGGAATTATTTTATTAAATATCAATATACCAAAGAAATGGAAACATATTTATTATATACTAAAGGAATCTGTTAGAAATAATGTAACAAGTCTGACATGCGCGTATTTATCCTGACTCCAACACACTTTACATAATTTTTTAATTTTTTAATAATAATAAATTAATTAGTTATATTTAATAATAATCTTGTAATTGATTATGCGCACAAGTAAAAAAAAAAAAGTATTTCTTTTATTTTTTATACGAGCAACATATTAAATAATATATTTTTATATTATTTCTACACTGATTTTTATCGTGTTTATTTCTTATTATCTTAAGAAAGAAATGATATAATATTTTGTAATTTACCGACTCTGAGATTTTATTAATTAATTATTAATAAAACTAATATTAACTTATTTCCAAGGATTAATCAATTGCTTTTCCTCGGGTTTTCCCTCATTGCTTATTAAGTGTAAAATTATCGTCCCGCATAATTGTTTATGGTACTTACAGTGAACTGTTAGAACTACTGACGTCATTGCTAATCGCATTTCTTTCGTTCTACATCCATATCGTCAATTATTGTTCCGTATATTGTTTGCTTTCATTTTGACCGATTATACCTTTTATCGCTACGTGACCGCAAAAGTTGTAAACGAATTCTAGTGGGGCATTCCAGTGACGTTTGCGTGGACGGAAATAGTAAATGGAAATTCCAAGGCAAAATCACTTTCACGAGCTTCTTCCTAGCTTTTAGCCGGGTGTATGTTTTATTTGTTTTATTATTGGTTCCTTGAATTGTTGATCCCTATTTCACTGTGTAACAAAAAATAATTTCTTTTTATACACAAAAATGCCTGTGAAAATAAAGATGAATTTTAACACAGAAATCGCGTTCTGTTTTGCAAGATTATTTTTTTATGCGCATTTGAAATCTAGAGATCATTTTGGTTGCGATGCAAGATGGAATTTTGCGATTGTCTGAAAATCATATGTTTCCACGTTTGCATTAAAATTTATCATTAAATTTGAAAATGACAAAATTAAAGCATTTTCTGTGTGGTTATCACATCTCTTTTTTGCTCTGCTTCAATCTCTTTAATTTTACCATTTTCAAATGATAAAATTAGCGACAAGCTTAAAATAAAAATACATGATTTTCAGATAATCGCAAACTTTCATCTTAGCTTCGCGTCCGAAATAACCTTTTCTAAACTTCAAATGTGCAGCGTAAAAAGCTTGATTTCTTGAAACGAAACATTATCACTTCTCATTATGCGTCTCTACTTTCACGAACGTATCGATTTTTTTCGTGTGTGAAAAATGTCACACTATGTTTTGTATAAAATTAAAAAATGTCATATATTATGATTAGGTGCTAAGTTTATTACTGTAATTTTTTTTCTAACATTGATGAAAATTTTATCAAACAGACACCGTACAGGGTGTCTCGTATTCAATGGTACAGCGCTTGTGGGAAGGTAGTGTGGACCAAAC